GCGCCCCCCCCCCCCGCCCCGCACACACAAACACGTTTCAGGTACAAGTATCAAACCGGGCGCGAGCTGGAGAAAGCCCGCGAGCAGGACAAGGGTGCGGAGGAGCTTAGCGACAAGGACTTCGACGCCTTCAGTGCCCTCCTCAGAGGACTGACCAACAGGTACTACTGCTTTACAGTACATGCACAGGTAGCGCCCACATTTAAGAAACGTCAACTTGGTGTCGAGGCCCGGTTTCATTTGTCGTCACCACCGTCCCTGAGGATAGGTCAATATATATATATACATACATACTCCGAGGAGAGTTTAGAGCAGGATCCACGGCTGAGGTGTGTTTCTCAGCCATTTTTTCTTAAGTCATTACCAAATTGTGAGCCTCTGTGTCTTGGCGTTTTGTTGCTTGATCGCGGGCGCTGACTGCTGTAGCAGATCTTCTTCCTCTTGTCGCTGCGTAGGCGAAAGTCGTGAATCAAGCAAGGGATCTGAATAACAGGTAGATTTGAAGTATAGCAGAGCTGCTCTCTTGTCGCTGCGCAGATGAAAGCTGTGACGCAAAGGGATATGTCGGTGGTGCAGGGTGCTGCTGTTTTCTGCGAGGATTGGTTGGCGCTGGAGTCGTGTCGGATTGGACGGCACGTCTCTCCCCATTGGACGAAAGACGGGCACAGCAGTCTTTCATTTTCGCGCATTCTGTATGCTGAAAACCTGGCGGCGGAATCCTTCCCCGCTACATACCCCCCCCCTCCCCCGCTTTCTGTGCTTGTTCTCGCTTTTACACGCCGCCGCCGATACTCCACGCATTCGATTGAAACCTTGCCCCCCTCCCCTCCTCCTCCTCCGTCGCCACCTCGTGCACGCAATGGGAATTCTATGTATTATTAAAAAAAAAAGTCGTGCCAAGGTGAAGGAAGCGATGGGCTTTGCGCTTGACCACGCGGACGCCAGCGCGGACGTGGTCGGGGTCCTGAAGGAAAGCCTCCTCGTGCCCGAAACCCCGATTCACGGTGCGTTAGTTCTTGCTCTCTGGTTCCGTATTTTGAAGCTACTACTGCTGTACCGCCGCCGAGTAACCACGCGTTTACTTGTGTGTTGCATCCTTGCCTTGATGCGGTTGGTTCGCCTGGTATGCTGCTCACCAACACACACGCCGGTCCATTAGCAATGCTAAATGCCCCCTCCCCCCCCCCCCCCCCCCCCCCCCCCCCCCCCCCCCCCCCCCCCCCCCCCCC